ACACCCTACCTTGCAATAACAACTCCACCACCGCATCAGATTTGGAGCATGGAATAACGATTATTTTCCCTTTCCTAATCCGAGGGGTTTGTGAGGCAACAAGCTACAAAGTCACCCTTGAAGCCTTGATGCCCTGGCTGGATGGTACCTAGAGGAAAGATGCTAGTAAGCGGCAGACACTTTGCAGATTCCTGTCTCTCAGAACTTAATCATATTTGCATTTTGGCTATGATCAGATGGAGGAAACACAAACTCCAAACTGTCAATCAACTTGGGCTTCTTTTCCAACTTTTTCTAAATCAATTTCTTTAAAAAAATCTCTGAACGCCAAAATTATACAATTGGTTTTTAAACAATTACGATGTTTTTTATCTATATATCGCATTATACGTAATTGGTAACCAAGAATTATTCATTACTGAAATTCTAGATTCGGAGGTGTGTATATAAATGTGCGTGTGAGTGTGTGCATCCATCTGTGTGAACTGAGATGTTCATGAGATTTGGGAGAGAGTAGAGGGAAGATGTTTACTGAAAATATATTTTTATATTGTCCAGTTTTTGCCTTTAAATACCAGTAGAAAAATTTCTGAAGCATATAGATTTCTGGCATTGTAATTTATCTTCAAAACAGAAATTAAATCTAACCAGTTATAAATTTGAGCTTCTTTCTGAATTAACCATGTTGGCATCACCCCAGCTATCTCCTTATGTTCACATGGTTGCTTCCAGACTCTATGTAGAATTTTATGTCTCTGTAGTATCAAATTTGTTAAATGGCATATTTTTATATCAGTAATTTTTATAGCATATTGTTATTCCAGACTTTTACATGCCTCTAATTTATTCTTAACTTCAATATAGCAGTAGTGATTTTTTTCTCCTAAGTTTGATGGTATGAACACTTTAGTTATGATTTAAAGTCATTAAAACACCATCACTCATTTGTACTTTATTTTCTATTCTTTTTGCAAACTTTAGCTATTTGGACAGATACAACTGTAAGTATTAATGCTCCTCAAACTTGTTTTAAATATCTCTTTGGGAAACATTTAGATTATTTTGTAATATGATTGAGATAAAGTGTTTCTGATGATCTTGGATTACTCATGCTACTTAAATGCAGAATAGTAAAGATGGATTTGATTGCAAATCAAATAGAAACTGATGCAGTTTTCTACAATCATATTCCATTTTCTTAGTCTCTTGATAACAAGGAGTAAGTTGGTCATAAGCTTTCTCTTCTGTCTTTCACGAAATGAGGCCACTGGGTTGCAGAGTTTGCCTTAGGAGAGGTTTTGGGGCAGTGTCCTTTCTCAGCTGTCTGGGTACCGCGTTTCTGTGGCTGTCAGGATTATGGTCGAAGGTGACATGGATGAAGAAGGCTGATGAGGCGTGTTTTGGTCGCTACATAAAGCAAGATTCACAAGTGCAGCAATCATGACATTGATTTTTTCCTTTGAATACTTTGCAATTGAGAAGGGTAGTGTCTTCGTTGTCTGGCATATGGTCCCAATAACTTTAATGGAAGACTTGTTTAGAGCATCGATTTTCTGTTTTAATTGTATCATTTTATTATTGGCACAGAATTATGACCACATTAATGGAAATAAAGAAGAAAAATTAAACTAAAAAATCAAGTGTCTTTTCTCTTCCCTTGCTTATATTTAGTTTTCATCCACTTATAATTATAATGTGTGTGTAGTTGAAATCATAGCTTTTGATATACAAGTTCTACTCTAATTTTTAAGTAACATGTCAGAAGCATGTTTCTATGTTGCTACATGATATAATTTGTAATTATCATTTCAATAAATATGTATCTTCACATTATTAGATATCCATTCAATGTTGATATACAAAAAATTTATAAATTACATATAAATTATAAAAAAAATCAACAAATAACGCCCATCTGCCTATCATTCAGTTTAAGATAAAGAACATTACCAATAAGCTTGAAGTTCCCCATCTGCCTCTATCTATCTCATCCTCTTTCTTACCTCCCGGAGGTCACATGATCATCATCTTAAATCTTGTGTTTATTGTACCCTTGATTTTCTTTATGATTTTATTATATATTTGGTTGTATCCCTAAACAACATGTATTTTCATGACTATTTTAACCTATATTTAAATGGACTCATACCAGATGATTTTTCTGTGATTTTTTTCACCTAATATTGAGCACCTATTTATTTCATGTCATGTGGCTTATATTGTATTCATTTGCATGGCTGTAAAGTATTTCATTATATGAATATGGCCACAACTTAGTATCCATGATGGATATTTGGATTTATTCCAGTTTTCCCCCATTATAAATGATAGTTTAAAGAACACCACAATATATACCTTTTCTTACAATTGTTCAAAAGTTTCTTTTTAAATTTAACATTCAATATTATTTTGTATTAGTTTCAGGTGTACAGCATAGTGGTTAGATAATCCTATACTTCACAAAGTGATTCCCCCAATATTTCCAGTACCCACCTGTCACCATACATAGTCATTACAATATTATTGACTATATCCCCTATCCTGTACTCTTCATTCCCAAAAGTTTCCTTATGATGTATATCTAGGAGTGACTCTGGTGGGTCATAGGGTATGTACCATTCAAATGCATAGGTAGTTCCAAATGATTTTCCGGAGTGGTTTTACCAGATTACACCCCCACCGGCAATGTGTAAAAATTCTGGTTGTTTTACACACTTGTCAACTTTTGATATTATCAGACAGTATGATTTTTGATAAGCTATTTGAACCCATATAACCCAAAGAATTAATATCCAGAATATATAAAGAACTCCTACAAACCAATAAGGAAAAGAAAACCCAAGAGAAATATAAGCAAAACATTTGAACAAGGACTTCACTAGAAGATAAACCATATGTAAACATGTTCTGCCTCATTATTAATTCAAAAATGCATATTTAAACCCAATGAGAAAGCATTTCAAATTTGTATCAGTCATGGGAATTATCAGTATTTAAGAGGTTATAAGCAGAGCCAATGTAAATGAAAATATAGGACCTATTATTCAAAATGAGGAAAAAGTGCTATTTAAGTTAGATTACAAAGCTTTTTCCTTTCTTCTATGGTCTCTCTCTTGACATCATGGTAGCTTTTGTTTGTGATGTAAGGTCATTCCAATAAAGAATAATTAAAACTTTAAATTACTGGCATGAACATTATCATTCATCTTTATATTGTGCAATGCTAGTATTTTTTTTAACAGCTTTGAGGTATAATTTGCATACAATAAATTCACCCATTTGAAGTTCATAGTTCAGTGGTTTTTAGTACATTTACAGAGTTATGCAACTATCACCACAATTTAATTTTAGAACGTTTTCATCATCCCAAAAGAAATCCCCCTACCCATTACCAGTCTCAATTACCCCCTTCCCAAGCCCTAGGTAACCACCAATCTACTTTCTGTCTCTATAGTTTTATCTATTCTGGACATTTAATATAAATGGAATAATACAATAGGTTTTTTTTGGGGGGGGGGACTGACTTTCTCTCGGCAATGCCAATTTTAAATGCAAACATCAGAGCACTTAACTTGTATGAGGAATTACCGAAATAACACATTTCATGTTTTATGGCTTCTGTTTGGAGGGTGCTTTGAGCTGGCCAAAAGAGACAAGTTTAAGCCAAACTCAGGAAGGTTGAAAGAAGGAAGAGAGAGGATTCTCCTCCCCTGTCCCATACAGCTGTCTGAAAGATTACTTCCGGGCAAGAGGATGTTTGTTGGCAAGCGCAGGCCCTGCCCCATGGTTTTTCCTTCTATCAAAGTGGAATTTCCGCATTCAAGCCCTAATCAAAGCTGGATTAGGGAAGTGGAGCCATTCATTTCCTCTATCCACAGTCTGCTGCCCAAAATCATGCAGACGGGTTGGTTGCCCCCAAGGATCTTTAAACCTCTGTGCCACAATACATGCTGAGTACCCGGGTGGGAGTGGCCAAGAGGATTGTGGACCAAGACTCAGTGTCCAGTATTCTCCTGCCATGCATGCCATGGTGCTGATAGTGTGGCACAGGAATGGATTGGGTACCCAAGCCTGATCCCTCCAGTACCAAGCCCAGGCCCTTTCCAGGGAGCAGAAGAAAGAGAAGTTTGACAGAAGCTGTAAGAAAGTGGTATCAAAGAAACTGATTGAAGAAGATGTTCCAAGAAAGATGGAGAAGTCAGCAGAGTCATTGCAATAGAAAAACATAGAAAGGAAAGGACTGAAAACTGTCATATGACAGCACTGATGACTTTGCTGAATCAATTTCAGTGCATTGGAGGGAGCAGAATTCAGATTACAAGGGTTGTAGGGAGAATGAGGGAGTGAAGAAGTGGGAACAATGAGTGTGGATGTATTCAAGAAACTTTTCTGCAAAAGGCAGAATGAAAGTAGAACTCTGAGCGGCAAGAGTCTAGAGCAGGGGTGGGCAAACTTTTTGACTCGAGGGCCACAATGGGTTCTTAAACTGGACCGGAGGGCCGGAACAAAAGCATGGATGGAGTGTTTGTGTGAACTAATATAAATTCAAAGTAAACATCATTACATAAAAGGGTACGGGCTTTTTTTTTTTTAGTTTTATTCATTTCAAACGGGCTGAATCCGGCCCGTGGGCCGTAGTTTGCCCACGGCTGGTCTAGAGCAAGGGTTGATAAATGACATGGAGCTGTTCATATCTGCATTCCCAACTTCCCATGTTACCTTGGGTATTGGGACCAGGCTACCTTGAGGACCCTTGCCTGGGGGTGATTATAATGCCTTCAGAATTAATAGTAGGTGCTGAAGGCCACCACATAGCCTGCCCTCCAAGGAGGTGGACTTTTAGGAGTTGTACTCAGAGCAAGAAGACAGGCATGAAGTTGCCTGCCATTATCTGAGAGTCTGAACTTACCCTTGTACTTAGAATTGAATTATAGCTTAAAGGGATATACTTCCTCTTAAAACTGGAGCCGGAGGCCTCTGAAAACACACCGACAAAAATTTGTGGTTAAGGTTTCTTTGTCCTGTATAATCTTGAGGAATTCTGTGATAAGAAGTAGGATGACCACAGTTTTTCCATGACTACACATCTCCTGAATACAGTAATTCACTTCCACTCAATCCTGATTTGATGGACTAGTTGTGAAGGGCTGGCATAATAATGAGCCTGGACACTGGACCCATGGACCCCTGCTATGCTTCGGGGTGGAATGGATAGAATTCCATGGATGGGAAATCACCTTCAAATGATACCCAGACTTGCTTAAGACCACTCTTATGTTATTTGGTTTGTACAAATTCCAGTTGTCCTATTTTAACACCTAATGTATGAGTCTGCATTCTGCATCCTGTACAGTCTCTTGAATCAAGAGCAATTCTTCAGATATCTATAGTTTATAATCATATGTACCCTGAGTCTTTTAAAAAATATATATATTTTTATTGATTTCAGAGAGGAAGGGAGAGGGAGAGAGAGAGAGAGAGAGAGAGAGAGAGATGATGAGAGAGAATCATTGATCGGCGGCCTCCTGCATGCCCCATACTGGGGTCTGAGCCTGCAACCCTGGGCATGTGCCCTTGACCGGAATCGAACCCCGGACCCTTCAGTCTGTAGGCCAATGCACTATTCACTGAGCCAAACAAGCTAGGCTAACCTGAGTCTTTTTAAAAATATATATATTTTTATTGATTTCAGAGAGGAAAGGAAAGGGATAGAGAGATAGAAACATCAATGATGAGAGAGAATCATTGATCAGCTGCCTCTTGCATGCCCCACACTGGGGATCGAGCCTGTAACTCAGGCATGTGCCCTGACTGGGAATTGAACCTCGACCTCCTGGTTCATAGGTCGACGCTCAACCACTGAGCCATGCTAGCCGGGCCCACCAGAGTCTTCTTTCCCCAGGTTAAGAAAAACTTCTCTCGACGCTCAACCACTGAGCCATGCTAGCCGGGCCCACTAGAGTATTCTTTTCCCCCTTTTCCTTCACTTATTCCTCATAGGAAGA